GGAGCTCAGGGCTGGAATAGCAGGGGGCTGCAGCTGGGCACTGAAGGGCACTGGCAGAGCTGTGTGCGTGCAGGGAGCCCAGCATCGGGATAGCAGGGATTTTGCAGGTCAGAATTGAGATGTAGCCACAGACCTTCATGAAGGAAGTTTGCCCAGCCCCTCACTAAGGGCTTGTCTACATAGCCCATAGTTTGGCCTACGTGACTATAATTTGCAGCACACACCAAAGTGCTGTGCTAGAATAGCCCCATGCGGATGCTGGTGGTGCACACTAAATGGTACTTAGTTCGCACTGACATAGTCTTCTTCAAACATGACTCTGTTCATGTGAACTAGGAACCTTTTGGTGCACACCCAGAGTATCCACATGGGGTTATTACAGTGCAGTTCTTTGGTGCGCGTTGCTTTTCACACTCCTGTAATCTGAACATTGGGCAGTGTAGACATAGCTTGAGTCCCGCCATTCCAGACGCATTAAATTCACTCTCTGTTGTTAAGAACGTGAGCTCCAAAATCTGCAGTGTTTGTTTATTTCCAGGGTAGGGGGAGATGATCATGAAGGTGACTGAAGTGTGTACATTGTATGTGGTCATAGGTGCCAACTCTGTGGGTGCTCCAGGCCTGGAGCACCCTCCAGCAGCCAAGCTCCCGCTTCTGCCTCCCTCCCCACTGCACCTCTCACCTGCTCGTGGCCTCGCTTACCAACTCCTTCCCTGTCCCCCCAGTGCTTCCAGAGCACTGTGAACAGCTGATTTGTGGCATTCAGGAAGCTCCAGGAGGAAGTGGGAGGAGTGGGGACTTGGTGCACTAGGGGGAGGAGGCGGGGAAGAGGCAGAGTGGGGGTTTGGGGGAAGGAGCGTGGCGGGGGCAGAGCAGGGGCAGGGACGTGGGAGAAAGATTGGAATGGGGGCGGGGTGGGGCGGATCAGGGGTGGGAAGAGGTGGGGGCTTGGAGGAAGGGGTGGAGTGATGTGGGGTCTGGGGCGGACGGGGGGGGTCGAGCACCTATGTATGTGGTGATATTTCTATCTCATTATTGTATGAAAGCACAAACACACATTTACTAGGGTTTAGTCAAGTACCTGATTCCCAGGTCATCTTCTCAGTCTCTGAAATGGGGAAGAGAAAAGCATTAGACCCAGAGACACACAATGGGTGGTGCTGTAAACTCCCTAGTGACTGGAGTTAGTCACAGACACCCCACACCCACGCTCCCAGCCCCAGAGCCAGAGCCGGTAGATTTGACAGGAGCAGGGCTGGCAGTCAGTGATATGCACCAACACACAGGAGACCTGGGGAGTCTCTCACTCCTTAGCCCTTGTCTACACACACACTTGCATCAATTTAACTAATTAGGTTTCAAAACATACCTTGAATTAAACTTGGACAGGGCTGCATGTAGCGCAGGCCTTGGGCTGCTGCAGCAGGGCCAGTAGAACCATTGGGACGGGGTCACTTACTCCACAGCGACCCCTCTAGCTGGTTACAGAACAGCACTGATTGCTAGGGGAATCCCATGCATCCTTCCCGAGCTGGAGGAATGGTGGCCACAAGAGGGCATGGCAGAGGGCAAAGGAAATGAAAGGGGGGGAATCCTCAGGGCTCTTCCACGCTGTGATTGCCCTAAGAACTCCGGTCACCGTGCTGGCATGTTCTCTGCACCTTTCATCTATATTTCCCTGTGTGTCTGCGCACTGCCCAGCAGAACAGGTCAGCACCACTCAGCACCATCACAGTGCAAACCAATATCATTATTAAGTATAGAAAAGTTCACAGAGGAATAAATTAGATGTATGGACTTTTTTAAAAAAAGGTGCTGCTGTGTCTATTACCACAGCACAAGCAAGTGAATGTCACATATTAATAGAGTTTCAGGCCAGAAGGGACCATTAGGTCATCTGCTCTAACCATCTGCAGAGCACAGGCCAGAGAATCTCACCCAGTTCCCCCTGCACTGAGCCCAATAACTTGTGTTTAGCTACAGCACCTTCCAGAAAGGTGCCCAGTCTGGATCTGATGACATCAAGAGATGGAGAATTCCCCACTGCTCTTGGCAGCTTGTGCCAGGGGTTAATCACCCTCCCTGTGTCCTGTGCATTAGAAAGTCACAGGGATGGAATCATCTCACAGAGAGTCATTGACCTTGCTGTGTCATTTCCTTTAAGGAGAACAGAACCACCAAGCAATTATCCAGGGTTAGTAGGACAGAATCTGACCCAGATTTGTTACTGCAGGCCTGTGTCCCTGCCCCACCAACATGCAGGGAATCTTACAAGCACAGAGCCTTGGGTATCCGCTGCAAAATACACATTTTCCAACCTGTTATCATCAGGGTGTGTGAGAACATGGGGGAAACGAGGTATCACTGGGCAGAAACCTTCTGGCTCCATCCCTTTCATTGCACTGAGCCCACAGAAAACACCAAGCAGTCACAGAGCTCACACATCTCAACAGGCAGAGCAAGGGCTAGAGCAGGAGACCTACCAAGAAGTGACAGAGCCTCCTCTTTAGAGCGTTTCTTCTGAGAGGCCTTTTGCTTCGCTGTAAGACAGAGAATCAGATATTGCAGTGAGACAGGGAAGGAAGGGGAAACACTGAGCAATACACTAATACATGTGGGGGTGGGGACCCCAGTGTGTTTGTTAGTTTGGTTTATTTCCTAAAACCAGCCAAAGGTCAATATCTGAACAATAAGACACTCCCATGCCCCACCCCAGTGCCCTCTAGCACCAGGCTCTAAACATGCAAATAACACATTCCCATTACCTGTGTATCCAAGATATGCACAAGCTCCAGCAGCAATGAGAACCAGAGTGAACAATACCCAGAATGCAGCCCGCCAGGGAGAAACCCGGGGGAAGATGTCACCTGGCAAACAGAGAGCGCAGCGTGTGAGGAGCACGGTCCCATCCTAGAGCTGGAGAATGGGGTTTGCCACTTGGTTTGACAGCTGAGTCCTGGCTCAGGGAGCCCAGAAATCCATGGGAATGAAGGAAACGTCCCCTCCACACTCAAATCACAGCCACATATGGAGCCATTGAAACCAGAGAAGCCAGCGCAGCATCAGTTCCAAGAACCAGGACTCTGCTCTGCCCAAATCCCTCCCACTGCTACAAGCCAACAGCCAGCGGCTCCGTGCCCAGCCTGCCCAGCCCTGCCTGCACCAGCTGGCTGCTCGGATGGTCACTGTCACACAGCTGCCAGTTCTCAGTCACCACGTCCAGTCCAGATAATTTCAGCAGAGAACATTTTTTTCCTAGTTGGCCCCAGTGTGTTATGAGTTGATGAATGCATAGATGTTAAGGCCAAAAGGAGGCATTATGACCATCTAGTCAGACCTCCTGTACAACCCAGGCCAGAGACCCTCCCGCAGTGATCCCTGCATCCAGCCCAGAATTTCTGTTCCAGCCACAACCGATCTTATAGAAAGAGACGCCTAGTTTGGGTTTAAAGATTCCAAGTAAGGGATAATCCATTACATCTCTAGGTCACTTATTCCAATGGTTAATTCCCCTCACTGTTAAAAATTTGCACCTTATTTCTAGTCTGAATTTGTCTAGCTTCGACTTCCAGCCATCAGACCTATCGACTGTCAGAAATCTTCCCCCTGTGTAGGTACTTACAGACTGTGATCAAGTCACCTTTTAACCTCCGCTTGGATAAGCTCTATAACTTGAGTTCCTATGATTCTAACTATGAGGCAGGTTTCCAGACTTCTGATTGTTCTTGTAGTTATTTTCTGAGCAATTTCCAATTTGTAAGCTTCCCATATGAAAGTGTGGACACCAGAACTAGACACAGTATCCAGTACTGGTCTGGCTAACACCACACACAGGGGTGATGTCACCTACTTTCCCCTGCTAGCTATTCTCATTTATACATACAGGGATTGCGTTCACCGTCTTAGCTCCAGCATCAGTCTGGGAGCTCACATTCAAGTCCTTTTCAGAGTCACTGCTTTCCAGGATACAGTCTCCCATCCCGTAAGTGTGACCTGTATTCTTTGTTCATAGATGTGTGACCTGGCATTTGACCATGTTGAAATACATGTTTGACAAAATGGGAATTTTCACTCAGGCCATTGCACTGGTCCTGTGGATCCATGACAGCATGTTGTTAGTGTGAACCCACCTTACCAAGCAATACAGGTCACTCTGTAGTACTGACCTGTCCCCATCATCATGTACCACTCCACCAATGTTTGGGTCATCTGCAAATTTTACCATCAATGATTTTATATTTCCTTCCAACTCTTTGATAAAGCTATTGTATAGCATTGGCCCAGAACAGATCCCTGTGGAACCTCACTAGAAACATCCCCATTGGAGGATGATTCGCCATTACAATTACTTTGAGATCTATCAGTTAGCCACTTTTTAATCCATTGAATGTGGGCTACCTTGATTTTGTACAGTGCTAATTTTTGTTATCAGAGTTTCATGCAGAACTAAGCCAATGCTCTTCAGAGTCTGAGTCCTGGTCTACACTACAAAGTTAGATTGGGTTAATTACATCGTTAAGGGCTGTGAAAAATTTATCTCCCTGTGCAATGTATTTAAGCCAAACTAAGCTCCTGTGTAGACACAACTAGGTTGATGGAAGAGTTCTTCTATCAGCCAAGCTTCCGCCTCTCAGAGAGGTGGATTTATTACAGTCACAGAAGGACCCCTTCTACCACTGTAGTAAGTGTTTATAGTACCGCATTGCTGCTGTATCATTTCTAATGTAAACACACCCTGAGTCTATGTCAGCACAGTTACCTTTATCAACCAAATGCACCATCTCCTCCAAGAATGATATTGAGTTCATTTCACAAAACTCAACCCAGATCCTGACAGGCAGTTTGCCCAGATCACAGAAATCTCCATCACTAATGGCCCCATAAATCAGGTTAGAAGGACATTTCCTGTTTCAGTACCAGAAAGAGGCCCTAGGTGAGTGCAATTCTCAAGTGACTCAGGCCCCACATTCCCTTGGTGACCCCTATAAGCCTTGCTAGAGCCCTACATATAACTAAAAGTGTGAACCAAAGTCTGTGAACCAGAGTAGACTGGGCCTTGGAAACATAACAATACAATAGGTATTAGCTAACACCAGGTAAGCACATTCCTGACTGGAGAGGATGGTGCAAAAACACGACAGATCTCTCAAGTAACTATGTAAACACTTTCATTTTCATAAGAGATGGTACAGATAAACACTGACCCCTTGTAGGATAATGATGGGATGACAGGATAATGGATAAGGGTTGGTCACCAACCAAGTCTGGAGTGAAATAGGCAACTTGGTAGTATCAATGTATAAAAGGAGAAGTCATAGAAGGGGCATCTTTGTACTAGTCTCGGGGACAGCATCCTAGTGCACTGACTGAGCAGGTACCATGTCACAAGCACACACGTTAGTATAACTGTAGCTCCTTTGAGCCACTAGTACCATGTTTTGTTGACCATAAACCTGGGTGAGCACCTTCAACACCGAACGGAGCCTGTGCTCTTTCAGATGAATAACATTGAAGTCTGCTGAATTGACATGCTGCTCCAAATTAAGAGCATCCATGGAACTTCAAGAACAGCAACACTGACAGCAATAACAATTTAGCAGCCTTAATAACTCTGGGCAGTACTAACAACCACCCCTTCTGCATGGGGGGGCTGGGAGGGAACTCACCTGAGAGGTGAATGGCCGATTGTCGCTCGGTCTCCAGCAGGCCATTCCGCACTATGCAGCTGATGCCTCCATGGTCTTCTCCTTCTGTGACAGTGACGTGACTCACAACACTATACAGGTTCTCCCTGTTCTGAGTCACGTTGGTCACAGTCTCCATCGCCATGTTCTGCCAGTTCTTTCCAACCCACTGGAGTTCGGGTTTGGGGAACCAGCCTGCGGATCTACAGACCAGCTCAATCCCCTGACCCCGGGGGCCCAGCACCTCAATGAACACTGGAGCCACTGCTGCAGGGAGAGACAGAGAGTGTGTATCAGGAAATTGTGTTTTTAGTAGCACCATGTGATTCCCCAGATACCGCTGGGTATAGGGGGCTGTGACTGCAAAGCTTCATTCCCGTATGTGCAAAGCCTCCTTGGGATCCCTCATCCTGACAATTGGGGAAATTAAATAATACCACCTTGCATTTCCATACAGCACTGTGCCCTGAAATCTCACTGAGGAATATACAGGGTGACACTGCTACACAGAGATCACTGCACCAACTGCTGAAATGAAGCCACTTCTGGGATGGAGCCCAGCAGCTGTCAGAATCACTGCAATTTGGTACAGAGCAGGAAGTGGGGGATGGTGACACTGCCTACATCACTGTTCCGACTCCTCCTGTGCCACCCTCCTAATATTGTTCCCTCTGGTGTCCTTCTCCCGTACTGGTAGTGGTGCCCCAGACCAAGCCACACCTCCTGCTTGGATTTCCCTCTCCCTGTGCTGCACACAACCACCCTCCACTCATTTAAATCTCTCCCTAAAAGCAGATGTGTCCTGCAGAGCCTTTGGACTAGGAGCCACCAAAGATGGGAGATGATTTAAAAACAACCTCAATGTTCTGCATATCACAGGAGTGGCCCTCACCTGGGGCTTGATGTTTCTGAACTGTATTGTCTGGGGCTACGTTACTCAGTGAGCTCAATGGGCAGAGACCGTCCCTTCCACTGCCCTTGTGCAGCACTGAACGTGGGGTCAGTGCCCAGGGAATAACAAACAATACCCCAGCCCTTAGAAACTGCAGGGGGAGTTTCAGGGAGGCTGAATATTATTGTCACCTGAGCTGGGATTTGGGCAGAACATGGGGGTAAACGTCATAGAATCACAGAGTTATAGAATATCTGGGTTGGAAGGGACATCAGGAGGTCATCTAGTCCAACCCCCTGCTCAAAGCAGGACCTAATCCCAACTAAATCATCCCAGCCAGGGCTTTGTCAAGCCTGACCTTAAAAACCTCTAAGGAAGGAGATTCCACCACCTCCCTAAGTAACCCATTCCAGTGCTTCACCACCCTCCTAGTGAAAAAGTTTTTCCTAATATCCAACCTAGATCCATCCTCTTTGGAACCCCCTTTCATGTAGTTGAAAGCAGCTATCAAATCCCACCTCATGCTTCTCTTCTGCAGACTAAACAATCCCAGTTCCCTCAGCCTCTCCTCATAACTCATGTGCTTCAGCCCCCTAATCATTTTTGTTGCCCACCACTGGACTCTTCCCAATTTTTCCACATCCTTCTTGTAGTGTGGGGCCCAAAACTGGACACAGTACTCCAGATGAGGCCTCACCAATGTCGAATAGAGGGGAACGATCACGTCCCTTGATCTGCTGGCAATGCCCCTACTTATACAGCCCAAAATGCCGTTAGCCTTCTTGGCAACAAGGGCACACTGTTGACTCATATCCAGCTTCTCGTCCACTGTGACCCCTAGGTCCTTTTCTGCAGAACTGCTGCCTAGCCACTCGGTCCCTAGTCTGTAATAGTGAGTGGGATTCTTCCGTCCTAAGTGCAGGACTCTGCACTTGTCCTTGTTGAACCTCATCAGGTTTCTTTTGGCCCAATCCTCTAATTTGTCTAGGTCCCTCTGTATCCTAGCCCTACCCTCCAGCGTATCTACCACTCCTCCCAGTTTAGTGTCATCTGCAAACTTGCTGAGAGTGCAGTCCACGCCATCCTCCAGATCATTAATGAAGATATTGAACAAAACCGGCCCCAGGACCAACCCTTGGGGCACTCCGCTTGAAACCGGCTGCCAAATAGACATGGAGCCGTTGATCACTACCCGCTGAATCTGACAATCTAGCCAGCTTTCTATCCACCTTTAGTCCTGATGACTCAAACAGCACCACAATGAACATGAGAGCTGAGGTCTGTAGCTTTACATCTCATTGAAAAGAGGTTGTTTAATGCAGCATTGACCCTGCTACTGCCACAGTGGGGTCAGCGCTAAGCGCGAGGGGAGAGCACCCCCTACTGAGTCCTGCACACAGATCCCTGCAGCACACGACCCTACTTCCAAGCTGGGCTCAGTGTTGGGGTGCCCCCAGGGTTACAGGATGCTCTGGCTGCCCAGGCAGAGCATCCCCTAGTGCTGCATCTCACCTGCAACCCGTAGCTCAGTCGTGGCTTCGCGACTCCATTCTGGGTTCTTCACAAAGCACTGGTATTTCCCATCATCTGACACTTGGAGCTGTTTCAGCTTCAGGGAGACATTCCCACTGATGAACTCCTGTGGGAACAGCTCCGTCCGGTTCTGGTAACTTGCCCCCGGTAGCTCCTGAGAACCATCATCCGAGTACTCGTGAACTGGGATAAATCCTGATCCAATTTTCCTCCACCGCACTTCCATGCTGCGCAGCCGGGCCGGGGGTGAGAGCTGGCAGGGTAACACAACATCCCGGCCAACTACCCCTACCATGGGGTGTGGGGAGCCAACGAGGGAGAACTTCTCTGGAACAGAAAACCCCAGGAGCAGATTGAGTGAGAGGAATGAGGAGAGGGTGTCACTGAGCCAGGGTCCAGCCGTACAGACACACAGTCAGTCATGCACAGCTTGTAGCAGAAGGTTCCTGAGGCTGAGCCATGTGTAGCTTAACTGAGTTACTCTCAGTGTGGACGCAGAGCAGTACAGCCAGACCACAGCTGGCACAAGCTAGTCCTCCAATGCTGTCCTACAAACCCCTGGAAACTCCTCCACAGGTGCCTGTCTTGCAACTACCTACACTCTGTTGGGAAGGGATGGCCTCAGCTGGAAGCCACTTGCCAGTTCATAGTGCCTTGCACAGCCCTATGGCACCCAGTTACGAGCTCTTTCCAGTGCGAGCAACTTCTTTGATGGACCAGTTTCAGATCCACGTAGCCCCACAATGGCTGCTGAGAGGCCACAGGGCTTCTGCCTGGCCTGAGGGTATGGGGTCTTTGATGGACCTTTGGACCGATGCACGTCCCTTCCATGGATTCAATACCCCAAACAGAAACTGACTTAGATGGGGAGTCACCATTCTGAGGATCAGTCTCTGGGGGGAATTAAGCATGTGAAGGTGATTTATGTGATGTCTGCACAATAGCTGTGTCTGAAGCAGTGGTGCCCAAACTTCTCCTGTCATGCCTCGACGACCAGTAATGGAATCTCTTCACACTGCCCTCCATTACTGCATGGCCAAAACTTTCTCAGCTTGGGCTGAAGGGGCAGCTGGGGGCAGAACTGGGGGTGGGGATGGAGCTGGGGCTAGAGGTGAAGCTGGCCTAAGGGTGGAGGAAATGACAGGAGAACCGGGTTGGAGGCAGAGCAGGGGGCAGTGTGGAGCTGCATCTGGGGCCAGAGCTGGCCTAAGGCTGGGGCCTAGAGCAGTGGCTGGGGTCAGAGCTGCGCTGTGGGTGGAGTGGAGCTGTGGCTCGGCCTGGAGCTGGGCTAGGGCTGGGGCCCAGAGCTGCAGCTGGGGTTGGAGCTTTTCTGGGTGCAGAGCAGAACTGGGTGGTGATCCCTCCTCATCCCCCATGGGGGCTGGCCTGATCCTGCTGTGCCCCGCAAAAAACATTCCCCTATGCCCCCCTAATGGACTGTGCCTCACAGTTTCAGAACCACTGGTCTGAAGGGTCTCCAGGCTCATCTGTCCCACATGGGTCATGTAGAGCAGCTGCTGCCAAGCTGCAGCACCTGACACTCACTATGTGGCTACAGGGAGAGCGATAAGGATGAGATTTTGAAAGCCAGCAAGGAGATTTTGATAACAAATGTTGCCAACCCTTGGGCTACCATGTGATTTTCATAAAGCCCCAGCTCCTGGAGGAACGTGATTCTGAGAGACTCAGCTTTCATTTAAAATAAAAGTAAGTTTCTAGCTCTAGTGGTTGCAGAGAAAAGTTTGAAAATGTGACCCAAATGTGACCAAAGACTCAAAACAGAAGGGAAATAAGACCCTGAAAGGGGTTTTGTTTTGTTTTTAAAAAATCTGATGATATTTTAGCCAATTTCCTCATTGCTGAGACCTGACTCATGATGTTTGAAGGTTTTGGGGCTATTGATGCTGCCACTCCAATTCATCCCAATGGGAACTGGACACTCCCATCTTTCAGACAGCTGTGACGATCTCAGCCTTGCAGGCCATGAGAATCCATGTCCCCAGTAGGGCAGGTCTAGCAGCACGGTGCCTTCGGGTCCCGTGGCGGGACAGGAAGGGATCAGTGTCAGGGGCCCTGGGAGCCTCTCTCAGGGGTAACAGGAGCTAGGCGACTTGCTGCAGATCCGACAATCCTGCCACCCAGAGCTAGGACACACCCTGGTCACCCCAACGTCATCTCCTCCCCACAGCCTCCTGGGCCTGACCCCTTTTACTGTGCAGGCCTGAGGAGGTCCCAGGGGGCGGGGATGTAACTGGGTCTCACATGCCCCTACCCCAGCCCTTCAGGGGGCAGCGTACAAGGGGGACAGGGAGGGAAATAATTGGGATTCAAATGTTTTTACCTGAGAGAGAACACGGTGCCAGGAGGAGGATCCACAGGCTGCACACACAGAGCCACCACCGCATCGCCATGGGGACACCCCAGGCAGGGACCTGTAAGGAGACAGCAGGGATGGTTAATACCTCCCTAGACTGCTTGAGGGGCCAGCAGTGCAGGGAACATGCCCCATCCATCGTCTGACCTAACCCACTCAGAGCATCTCCCCAGGGACAGGAGAGGATTTCACCCCACCCAGGCTGCTCTGCCACCTGCCCAGGCCTGGCACTAGGAATTTCCACCCCCGGGACATGCCAT